GTGACCCCGTGACCCCGACCCCATCCCCCACAGCACCTCCGAGCGTGAACCTCGCACACACGTGTGAACACGTGAACGCACACGCGTGTGGCCAGCGTGAGAACCCGGTGTGAGGCCCTCGTGCAAGGGACCGGCCCCGTGCAACGTCCCCGTGCGACAACCCCCTGTGCAACGTTCCCTCCACCACGCCCCCGTGCAACACCGTCTTGCCACGTCCCTGGTGCAAGGTCCCTGTGCGAGGTCCCGGTGCTGGATGCAGTTGCGGGGTCTCCATGCACCATCCCCGTGCAACGTCCCCGTGCAACGTCTCCATGGCCAGACCCCCCCACTGCAGTGTTCCCGTGTGAGGTTCCCCGTGCAAGCCTCTGGTGCAAGGTCTCCACGGCCAGGTCCTGGTGCAAGGTTCCTGTGCGATGTCCCCGTGGCAAAGCCCCCCCGTGACCATGTCCCTGTGCGAGGTTCCCCATGTGAGCCTCTGGTGCAAGGTCTCCACGGCCAGGTCCTGGTGCAAGGTTCCTGTGCGATGTCCCCGTGGCAAAGCCCCCCCGTGACCATGTCCCTGTGCGAGGTTCCCCATGTGAGCCTCTGGTGCAAGGTCTCCACGGCCAGGTCCTGGTGCAAGACCCCATTGCAGCGTCCCCATAGCCAGACCCTGTGGCCAGGCCCCGGTGCAAGGTCCTCGTGCGAGGTCCCCGTGGCAAAGCCCCCGTGGCCAGGTCCTGGTGCAAGGTCCCCGTGTGACGTCCCCGTAGCCAGACCCCGTGGCCAGGTCCTGGTGCAAGGTCCCTGTGCGATGTCCCCGTGGCAAAGCCCCCTGTGACCGGGTCCCTGTGCGAGGTCCTCATGGCCAGGTCCTGGTGCAAGGTCCCTGTGCAAGCTCCCAATGCCAGATGCAGTTGTGGGGTCTCTATGCACAATCCCATGCACCATCCCCGTGCGACGTCCCCATGGCAAAGCCCCCCCCGTGGCCAGGTCCTGGTGCAAGGTCCCCATGCGACGTCCCCGTGGCAAAGCCCCCGTGGCCAGGTCCTGGTGCAAGGTCCCTGTGCAAGCTCCCAATGCCAGATGCAGTTGTGGGGTCTCTATGCACAATCCCATGCACCATCCCCGTGCGACGTCCCCATGGCAAAGCCCCCCCCGTGGCCAGGTCCTGGTGCAAGGTCCCCATGCGACGTCCCCGTGGCAAAGCCCCCGTGGCCAGGTCCTGGTGCAAGGTCCCCGTGTGACATCCCCGTGGCGAAGCCCCCCCTGTGACTGGGTCCCCGTGTGAGGTCCTTGTGGCCAGGTCCCGGTGCAAAGTCCCCGTGTGACATCCCCGTGGCAAAGCCCCCATGGCCAGGTCCTGGTGCAAGGTCCTCGTGCGAGGTCCCCGTGGCAAAGCCCCCGTGGCCAGGTCCTGGTGCAAGACCCCATTGCAGTGTCCCCGTAGCCAGACCCCGTGGCCAGGCCCCGGTGCAAGGGTCCCCGTGTGACGTCCCCGTGGCAAAGCCCCCGTTACTGGGTCCTGGTGCAAGGTCCCCGTGCGACGTCCCCATGGCCAGGTCCTCGTGCAAAGTCCCCGTGCGACGTCCCCGTAGCCAGACCCCGTGACCGGGTCCTGGTGCAAGGTCCCCGTGTGACGTCCCTGTGGCAAAGCCCCTGTGGCCAGGTCCTGGTGCAAGGTCCCCGTGCAACGTCCCCGTAGCCAGACCCCGTGGCCAGGTCCCAGTGCAAGGTCCCCGTGCGACGTCCCCGTGAGCGTGTCCCCGTGCGAGGTCCCCGTGAGCGTGTCCCCGTGCGAGGTCCCCGGTGCTGACGCCGGGGTCCCCGCAGGCCGGGAGGAGTACGTGGCCACCTTCAAGGGCAACGAGTTCTTCTGCTACGACCTGTCGCACAACCCCATCCAGAGCAGCACGGACGAGCTCACGCTCGCCTTTCGCACGCTGCAGCGCAACGGGCTGCTCCTGCACACGGGGAAATCCGCCGACTACCTCAACCTCTCGCTCAAGAGCGGCGCCGTTTGGCTCGTCATCAACCTGGGCTCCGGCGCCTTCGAGGCCCTGGTGGAGCCCGTCAACGGCAAGTTCAACGACAACGACTGGCACGACATCCGCGTCACCCGCAACCTGCGCCAGGTAGGGGCGGGGCGGGGGAGG